ACAACAACAACAACAACAACAACAACAACAACAACAATAACACAACAACAACAACAACAACACAACAACAACAACAACAACAACAACAACAACAACAATAACACAACAACAACAACAACACAACACCAACAACAACAACAACACAACAACAACAACAACAACAACACAACAACAACAACACAACAACAACACAACAACAACACAACAACAACAACACAACACAACAACAACAACAACAACAACAACAAAACAACAACAACAACAACAACAACAACAACACAACAACAACAACAACAACAACACAACAACAACAACAACAACAACAACAACAACAACAACAACAACAACAACTCAAAAACGCCTGAAAATGCAAATTAACGAATCAAACAGCGAAGTAACACCTAATAAACACCAAACCATAGCCAAAACAAAAACACAAACGCCACTAATACTACATCAATATGACTAATGCAAAAACAAATTCAAAACACCAGCAAGAACACCTCTAACATAAAAGGTACGCAACCAACGCGTCATCCTCGGTATCCAGGGGTTACGCTCACTTTCGCTCTCTACACCCCTGGAATATGTCATAGCAAAATTGAAGGCACGAAGATAGTTGTTTCATTGGTCTCAGATAAAAAAAAAACTGTCCAATCGCTAGGCTGATACCTGTCCTTTGAAGATTACAAAACTTAAAAGCCTGTCAATTTTTACGGTTACATGACCGCGAGATTCTTTTGATGTATATCAAAGGATCAAAATAGTCTTCTTGTCTCATCAACAAGTTGGTACATACTAAGCCTTCAATTTCGCTATGACATATTCCAGGGGTGTAGAGAGCGAAAGTGAGCGTAAACCCTGGCTGGATATCGAGGATGCCAACGCATACACAAAACCAAAATGTACCCAAATAAATGCCAACATAAACAATATATTCCAAAACACGCAAAAATAATAACAACGTTAAATCAGAAGAAAAAGAAGAAATGATAAAACAACTCTCTAAAACAGTTAGAATAAAGCTACCACAAATAAATACTAAAGAAATTTTAAAACAGCCTTATCAATGCAACGACAAAACGACGCTACACCAACGAATAGAAATGTTTAAAAGCCTTTTGAATAAAAACATTTTTAATTCAAATTCATTAATGTTTGATCAAATTTCTATTAATTTATGAAAATTTATCACCCAAATTGTAAGAAATTAGAAAGAAAGCGGTATACACTTTCGTATAAATGGATAAAAAACAAAGCAAAATAAAGTCCAATAGTTAATCGATATTATTTTAGGTGAGAGTTGTTCAATAGACGACTTTTCAGGGAAGCACAATACATTATGGACACCATATCAACATCATACCACCCCAACCTTCCACCGATCTATGTTGTTGTGAAATTAAGATTATCATACTTACTGTGTAGGTCCGTGTAAGAATATGTTCGTTTCCGCTCAGTTCTGTTTTTCAGGCTGTCTTACTGTAATATTGATACATGTACCAAAACTTTCAGACGTTTTAACTTGTACAACTTTTTTTTTCACAGCTCAAGACTTAATATCGACCGATCAAAAAGACTCAGAGGGAGGTAGCTTCGGAGATCCCTATGTGCGGTTAGCCATTCTACCTGAAGTGGATGAGCGAATCCGCCAATCGTCTGTCAAACGGAAAACGTGTAATCCATTCTATAACGAATATTTCAAATTCCCGCTGACAATAGATGACGTCAGGGACAAGACTTTAGTGTTTCACATTTACGATTATGATAAATTTTCACGGCACAAGATCATTGGCGAAGTGCAAGTAGATCTCCGTAAAGTGGACGTGACCAACAGCGTGGAGATGTGGTGTGACATCCTCAAACACCACAAGGTCAGTACAGCCTGTAACTCAGAGTTAATGACACGTCGGGGTTGATGTGGGGGTATCGGGGCTATTGTGGGGTACCGGGAATTGTGCGGAGTCATCGAGGTTAGTGTACAGGATTATCAGGGTGAGATTGGGGTAACATTTAATTGAGTAAATGTGGGTTTTCCAGATTAGTGTAGAGAGGTAAGGGTTAGTGTAGGGTTATCGGGGTTAGTGTAGGGTTATCGAGGGTGGGCGTTGGATTATCAGGATTAGTGAAAGAATGCTGTCGTTCCAGGGTAGGTGTAGGGTTAGCGGAATTTTCGGGTTATTGTATAGCGTATCTTGGTCGTTCCATGGTAAGTTAAAGGCTACTGCTTTATCTGAGTTATTGTACGGCGTACATGTAATTAAGTCTTACTCGTGTGAGTTTTAAGGTTATCGGATTATTTGCGATATTGCGTACCGGGTTAAATGGGACGGTATCGGCGCACCGGGTTAAATGGGATGGTATCGGCGCACCGGGATTAACGTCGAGGTAAGTTTGGGTCTGTTACATGATATTCCTGTCAAGGAATTATTATCTTCTTCCAGGGACATACATACTTTTCTTGATTTTGATACTGGTTGCCTTTTTTATATGTAAATACATTATAGAATCCAGTTTGATAAAAATGGAAATAAAAATAAAAGGACGGCATCCCCGACTAAACTTATTTATATCTATCCTCTCCCAAGAATAAAGTTACAGAATAACAATAAGTCACAATCTTTGTGAGTATATTTTCATCCAGTATCTGAATCAATCAGAATATTGCGCAAGTCTAACTCTTACAGTCAATTCTATAATAATTTGTATACACGTGTTTCAAAAACAATGTTTGATTAATTGCCATCTGTTCGTTGAGGAGCTAATTGTCATCTGTACTTGTTGCTATTTGCAATTAGTTTCGAAAATACGATCCAGGAGGCAATATGTTTAGGAGTTGATGAAGGAGCATGAATTATTCGAGTGCATCTCTCAACAGAAATATAATTAGGACATCGCGGCGTACTATCAGGTTAGCGGCGCAGTGAGCTGCTTTCTGCGTGTCGGAGTTGGAGTATGGCTGCCAGCGTGCATGGAATAATACTGCACTGCCGCGGGGGGCCGGTGTACCCAGGTAGTGTAGGGTTTATAGCTAGCAACAAGTCGGTATGGGACCGACACGGTTTTCACATACATGCGGACTTTCAAAGCGATATTGCTGAGGATTTTTTTTTTTTTCAAACTTTTGCGATGTTTTTTATTTGGCCAATGTTGATACTATTTGTACTTGTATAAAAGGACCAATACACGTTTTGGTTAACCCTAGTATTGAAATATTTTCTTTTAATGCAGATGTTTTACAATACTGGCACGTGTAGGTCTAATGTATGGGACACAATTGGTATATATAATGAACCTCTTGATCAACTTCGGTATGGACATAATCATATTCACATGATATATTTGAAATTCGTACAGGAGTGTTTGAAAAGTCAGTAGACTAACATCATGAAGATCAGAAAGAGAGTTATTTATAGTATACTTATAGAGAAAATAGTGGAGTATTGGAGTATGGAGGTCCACGACCTTCCCCGATAAGTGAAAGGTTTCCGAAGTCAGTGTAAGTTAGGAACTAAAGAATTGTCAAGGCTATAGTAGGGCTGATGGTGAACCGAGTTGTTGTTTTCGTTGTAGAGTTTAGGAGTACCTCGTGTACCGTGTTAAGGCGGAGTTCCCAAAGTATCGTGCTGTTTTGTAACTTCCGCTTCCGTTGAAAAGTGTTAGAGCAGGGCTTCCGGTGTACCGTGTTACATTTGTACGAGATTGTGTAACTTCCTCTTCCGTTGCAGAGTGATAGAACATGGGGGTTTCTATTGTACCGCTTAACGACGGGGTTTCCGGCGTGTCATGTCCAAGTGAGGTTTCCAGTATACCATATTATTGTGGGGTTTCCGTTGTACCGAATTAGAGCGGGGTTTCTGGTATTTAGTGTTATCGTTCGTTTCTGTTGTACCTATACCGGCGGATTTCCGTTGTACAACATAAGTGTGTTTCTGTACAGTTCGGGAATCTCAACCAGTGTGACAAAGTTACTATATTTTCCACATTATTGTTAAAGGTGATATCCTAGTTCGTCATTTCACAAGTAATTAGAGTAAAATTATTACTTTAAGAGTCAAAGGAAAATAGTACAGGTACCCAGCCAGAATGCACAATGTGACATTATAAATAGCTACACATTACTAATCAACTCGCAATTGAACACTAAGGACACATGACATAGGATATTTGAGGAAAACGTAAACTCTATATACATGTAGCACTGTAATACACATAATTCTGCCTGCTGACTGGCATGGCAGCTGCCGGTACCCCGTCGACTTATCATTGTGTTTTCTTCTATCTAATTTTAGCTTAGCTATAATTGCGGCGATACGTTCTCCGTCAGCGTGACGTGTGTTTCCGGTCCGGGTAATGTCTTCTGTCAAACGACCGTGTGATTACCAGTGTTGGTTGGGAACTTAGATGCTACCTGTCATCTCGACGGGGCGTGTGGAGGTTACAAACTCGCGGAAATGGTTGATCTTCACAGGTCTACGCCGACGGCTGATGCAAGATATAAGACGAAAATCAATGCAAATATCACTATCCGCTTTACTGTATCACTACCGTACAAGATGCGTTGCTACAGGAAATACGCCCGTCTCTGAAAGCAGTTCACAATATTCATTGCGATGAATATAAAATAAGAAGCCAGACAAAGTTTGAGAATGAAAATGACCTTGACCTTCTTTCAAAGTCACAGTGGTCAAATATGTGAAACGCTTTAAACAACTTCTTCTCAAGAACTGAAAAGTAAAGAATATTCCTATAGACCAACATTAAAAGAAATATTGGTATTGAAAGGATTATAAAGATGGAGATTTCTTTGTTTTTCCTTGGGAGTGGTGTGCGAGAGCGGGAGGGGGTTTATGATACCTATGTATCCATGCGTTTGTCAGAAAACACTCCAAAAAGCTGATCAAGAATAACAATTTAAATACATACACATTATGGTGCTAATAAAATCATCTGTTACAACAAAACATAGAAGCATCCTGATTATTACCTAAATATTTCAAGGTATTCTCCATTTTGTTATTTTGTTTTCGTCTGAACTGTAACGACCAACCTATAACGCCTACATTTCACAAGACAAATTGTGGCGTTATGCCTCCTGTATATATTACTAAATGACGACGTATACCTGTGTATTTATTGTTCTAGCGAACCTATTTCTGAAATAAAACGCCACGGTAATGCAATACTTATTTTATGACATCAATTTGGAAAGATAAAATCATATTTTATTTAAATATTAAGGGTGAAAGTCGACGCTAATGGAAAAAGTCCGTCTTTAGGGACATATTGGTGACGTCTAGCGATACAACCGTAACGAGTCCGTGTTGAGCCTTTAGAATTACACACGTGATCACTTTGTATTTGTACAGCAATAGCACGTTTTAGTATGATTAGACAAATTGTAATATGGTTTGATCACGTTATTGCTGTAAACTTACAGAATTACATTATGTTTTGTATAACACAATTATATTATCATGATGAATAGGACTTGACTTTAATGAGTCTCGTTTTATGTTTGTATATTTCAGTGTACCGGTGGAGATTACGGTGAGGTACTTCTGTCTCTCAGCTATCTTCCCACAGCAGAGAGGCTCACCGTTGTTGTCATGAAAGCAAAAGATCTGCGCATGACCGGTGTTGCTGGTTCTTCCGGTAAGGTTATGACACAGCTACATGCATCTTTCCATGTTTGTATTGAGAGTCTACATGTGCATTGGTACACTGTCGTATTACGTACAAATGAACATGAATTCATTAAGTCACAGAACGGAAAATTGTCACAGGTGCTTTTATATATTTTTAATTCATATAATCATATCAGTTCAATGTAAAAATGATAAAAACTGACCAGACAATATTAAGATTAAGGGGCGACAAAGCATTTACCCGTATACGTCACCGTGTTACAGAGTTACTGGATCTGAATATGTAAAACTATAAACTTCTTAAAATATCTTTTTCTTAAAATATCTTTTTAAATGCGTATGTAATGGACTCCATTCCAACTAATATTGTCCGCTTGTGATAGAACCCATCGAAATAACCCTGTATCGGACAATATAGCACGTTTCCGTCCATATCAATCCACTTCAAGAATCCGTATAATTATTTTTGATCGTTTGCTGATAACATGGCCGGAAGATTTAAGGAGTTAGGTGAAGCTTCACACGAAAGTTATTAACACAAAAACAAAATCAAGATTTTTAGAAAAGTATTTCGTTCATTGGGTCTGATATCAGTTCATTCAATTTGATATAATGATATAGAGATACAAGAAACAAGAAACTTAATTTAGAGTCGTATACATAAAAAAGAAGAAACATTAGCTCTTATGAGTTACTATTGCGATAATTTATTCATAAATAGCTTTAAATCTTATCACAATGAAAGGAAAAAACCCAGTATCAAATCTCGGGTTTATAAGTGATCAGTAATCCCCTACCTACATGGGTCCCCGAGTCATGACAACATAGATACATGAAATAATAAGAAGAACGGTGTTGATATAAAATTAAATTTCAAATAAAACAATGCAGTATGAAGTGTTATCAGATATATGTAATATTGAGAATAAGATACTCTAAGAAGACTCTACAGATAGGGCGTAAGAATTGTACCTGCTGCCCCCTTTGCATGATCGTAAGAGGCGACAAAATTTGGTATCTTATCTTTTCTCTTCTTTTTAAACAACTTTCTTCTTCCTAATGTCTCCCATGACAATGCCTCACTTTTGGCCTTTAGTTGAGCGTTCGCCCTTGTGAGGATGGCTTTGGGTTCTGTACCCTGGCCGAGACATACCAGAGTCTGTAAAAATGGTAGTTTCTACTCCTGCTTAACGCTCTGCCATTTAGGAGCTGGACGACTGGTTCGCCCGTTGTCAGTATAATGTGACCGGGTGGGGTGTCCGGCTGGGTTTTTTCGGCAGAATGTTTCAGTGAGATAGCACTATAAAGTCGGCATCAGTTCCGGGCTATCACAAGTGGACAAACACGAACATATCGCAGCCTCCCAAAACACACACGCATACACTACACGCATGCATCTTGCACACAGGGAAGGCCGTCCTTAAATGACCATAGCTGTTGATAGGACGTTAAACAAAACTAAACCAATACTAGTTATTCTACGAGCGGAATGCTTTACAATGACAACTGTGTATATATTGCCTATTTCATGCTTACTGTACATATAATCGATCATGACCTGTCAGTGGCTTATGACAAGTCATTGCATTCTGTTGTATTGAGATCTGGGAAGGCATAGTTATGTTTGCACATGCGCAGGAAGTGGTGATTTTCTGGAATCAAAAATATGTTCTGTGGGAAAAAACACATATCGGATGACGTTACATTTTGTAAATATTTATCAAAATTTCAAGTAACTCTCAAAATATAAGCATCACTAGTTCTGACGAATTAAAACTAACACACATTGAAACACCCACATAATTAGCCTTACATACATTGTGTATAAAGTTGAAATAAAAGGCCCGTGTTTTCGAAACAGTTTCAAATTCCGTGCTCTAACCGACGTTCTTGTAGCTTGCCAAAATTATTCATTACTGTCAAAAAATAAAATCTAGACAGTGAATAACGGTATTCTGTTTCAAGTCTCTCCAATTTTCCCCCACACTATTGCAAAAGCGCAAAAAAATGAAAAAGTCATTACCGAAACAAGTAATTAAACCTGCTACCAGAATCTGGGTTTGACCAAGACAACGTTTCATGAACAACGTCAAAGGACACCAATATGGATAAAACTTAGTTAAATCCTAAAGTTTATGCCATATCTTAAAAAACGAACAGCGCATTGAAATCGACTCCTTCTTTTGTCTTGCAGATACCTACATCCGGGTAAGTCTGACAGTTGAGGGCAAGAAGGTGAAAAGGAAGAAGACTACAGTCAAGCGTAACACGACATGCCCAGTCTGGAACGAGGCTCTCGCTTTCAATGTTCCCGCCGAATTACTGCCGAAAGTGAGCCTGGAGGTTGCCGTTATGGATCATCATGACCTCATAGGACATGGCGACATTGTAGGCAGGTGCCTGATTGGACCGGATAAGGAGGATCAGGAGGGAAAGCATTGGAACGACATGATGCAAAATCACCGGAAGTCGATGGCAATGTGGCACCATCTTCATAAAAGATGAAAGCATCGAGGTTATACTGACGTTCCCTACAATATTTTCGTCGATCCTAAAGGCATTAAGTGTTCCTTGGAATATCATTAACCGAGGATGGAAGATACGCTAATGATTTTTGCGGCACCATAATTAAACTTTTCTTCTTTAAGACAGAAATGGGGAAGCAAGACAATATTTTTTATTTATAGAAACAATATCACGTGATCGAGTCTTGTTAAACTAGTCACAAAATGTTTCCTTTGAGAACTGTTAAAGGATTGTGCTGTAAATATTTGCCCCTTGTCATGTTGATTTGAACAATGAATCCAGGATTGGCGTATGTGCTGTCTTATGTCAGTTCAATGTATACGTAGTCTGTGGCTGGAGCATTTCCTAGGAACGTAAACTGCGATGCGACTGTGAACATAGGATTATGCCTTCTCTTTAAACAAGTATATCTGATAATCCGAACAGCTCTTTGCCTGTATATCGTGAAAAAGGTTTATTTTTTATTCAAATGTTTTGTTTCAGTAACTAAGATAGTACTTACAATTTACATGTATTTGGCCTATTTCTAGCCAAACTACTGTAAGTGTATGTTGATGGACAGACATAGGGCATTTCATGTTAAATGAAGGTATTTGTGTATCACGCGAATCAAATTTTCAGAATGTGAAAATTGTAATGAATATATTTTCAATAAATACAAAAATGTTTTGCTGGTGGTTAAAGAAATGACGTTATGGTCGGTAAATATATTTAAAGACAATAAAACATGGTTTCGTCTATAAGTGTGTTTATGATTATTTATAATGTTTAAATAAAATATAAAAAAAGCGATCGCCTTTTCTTTTAGGAATAACATAAAGTAAATGCAGCGGATAGTCTAAGTAATTTTAAATAGAAATTTATAACCTATATAAATTTGTACTTTATTACTTAAGGAGCACAATATGTGGTAATATGTAACCCTGCTATCTCTGTATAGACTGGTATTTATTTACTAAGAGAGGCCAGACTAGTGTAATAGGTACCCCAGACCTGTCTATATAGACTGGTGCTTATTTACTTAGAGAGGTCAGACTAGTGTAATAGGTACCCCAGACATGTCTATATAGACTGGTACTTATTTACTTAGAGAGGTCAGACTAGTGTAATAGGTACCCCAGACCTGTCTATATAGACTGGTGCTTATTTACTTAGAGAGGCCAGACTAGTGTAATAGGTACCCCAGACCTGTCTATATAGACTGGTGCTTAAATACTTAGGGAGTCCAGACTAGTGTAATAGGTACCCCAGACCTGTCTATATAGACTGGTACTTATTTACTTAGAGAACCCAGACTAGTGTAAAAGGTAACCCAGCCAGACCTGTCTATATAGACTGGTACTTATTTACTTAGAGAGTCCAGACTAGTGTAATAGGTACCCAAGACCCGTCTATATAGACTGGTACTTATTTACTAAGAGAGGCCAGACTAGTGTAATAGGTACCCCAGACCCGTCTATATAGACTGGTACTTATTTACTTAGAGAGGTCAGACTAGTGTAAAAGGTACCCCAGACCTGTCTATATAGACTGGTACTATTTACTTAGAGAGCCCAGACTAGTGTAATAGGTACCCCAGACCTGTCTATATAGACTAGTACTTATTTACTTAGAGAGCCCAGACTAGTGTTATAGGTACCCCAGATCTGTCTATATAGACTGGAGTTTATTTAGTTAGAGAGGTCAGACTAGTGTAATAGGTACCCAAGACCTGTCTATATAGACTGGTACTTATTTACTTAGAGAACCCAGACTAGTGTAAAAGGTAACCCAGCCAGACCTGTCTATATAGACTGGTCCTTATTTACTTAGAGAGTCCAGACTAGTGTAAAAGGTACCCCAGCCAGACCGGTCTATATAGACTGGTACTTATTTACTTTGAGAGGTCAGACTAGTGTAAAAGGTACCCCAGACATGTCTATATAGACTGGTGCTTACTTACTAAGAGAGTCCAGACTAGTGTAAAAGGTACCCCAGCCAGACCGGTCTATATAGACTGGTACTTATTTACTTTGAGAGGTCAGACTAGTGTTATAGCTACCCCAGACCTGTCTATATAGACTGGTGTTTATTTAGTTAGAGAGGTAAGACTAGTGTAATAGGTACCCCAGACCTGTCTATATAGACTAGTACTTATTTACTTAGAGAGGTCAGACTAGTGTAAAAGGTACCCCAGACATGTCTATATAGACTGGTGCTTACTTACTAAGAGAGTCCAGACTAGTGTAAAAGGTCCCCCAGACCTGTCTATATAGACTGGTGCTTATTTACTTTAAAAGGTCAGACTAGTGTAAAAGGTACCCCAGACATGTCTATATAGACTGGGGCTTATTTACTAAGAGAGTCCAGACTAGTGTAAAAGGTACCCCAGCCAGACCGGTCTATATAGACTGGTACTTATTTACTTTGAGAGGTCAGACTAGTGTTATAGCTACCCCAGACCTGTCTATATAGACTGGTAATTGTTTACTTAGAGAGTCCAGTCTAGTGTAATATGTACCCCAGACCTGTCTTTATAGACTGGTACTATTTACTAAGAGAGGTCAGACTAGTGTAATAGGTACCCCAGACCTGTCTATATAGACTGGGACTATTTACTAAGAGAGGTCAGACTAGTGTAATAGGTACCCCAGGCCTGTCTATATAGACTGGTGCTTATTTACTTTAAAAGGTCAGACTAGTGTAAAAGGTACCCCAGACATGTCTATATAGACTGGGGCTTATTTACTAAGAGAGTCCAGACTAGTGTAAAAGGTCCCCCAGACCTGTCTATATAGACTGGTACTTATTTACTTAGAGAGGTCAGATAAGTGTAATAGGTACCCCGGACCTGTCTATATAGACTGGTTCTTATTTACTAAGAGAGTCCAGACTAGTGTAAAAGGTACCCCAGCCAGACCTGTCTATATAGACTGGTACTTATTTACTAAGAGAGGCCAGACTAGTGTAATAGGTGCCCCAGGCCCGTCTATATAGACTGGTACTTATTTACTTAGAGAGTCCAGACTAGTGTAAAAGGTACCCCAGCCAGACCGGTCTATATAGACTGGTACTTATTTACTTTGAGAGGTCAGACTAGTGTTATAGCTACCCCAGACCTGTCTATATAGACTGGTACTATTTACTTAGAGAGCCCGGACTAGTGTAATAGGTACCCAAGACCTGTCTATATAGACTGGTACTTATTTACTTAGAGAACCCAGACTAGTGTAAAAGGGAACCCAGCCAGACCTGTCTATATAGACTGGTCCTTATTTACTTAGAGAGTCCAGACTAGTGTAAAAGGTACCCCAGCCAGACCGGTCTATATAGACTGGTACTTATTTACTTTGAGAGGTCAGACTAGTGTAAAAGGTACTCCAGACCTGTCTATATAGACTGGTGCTTATTTACTTAGAGAGTCCAGACTAGTGTAATATGTACCCCAGACCTGTCTATATAGACTGGTACTATTTACTAAGAGAGGTCAGACTAGTGTAATAGGTACCCAGACCTGTCTATATAGACTAGTACTTATTTACTTAGAGAGGTCAGACTAGTGTAATAGGTACCCCAGACCTGTCTATATAGACTGGTGCTTATTTACTTAGAGAGTCCAGACTAGTGTAATATGTACCCCAGACCTGTCTATATAGACTGGTACTATTTACTTAGAGAGGTCAGACTAGTGTCAAAGGTACCCCAGACCTGTCTATATAGACTAGTACTTATTTACTTAGAGAGCCCAGACTAGTGTAATAGGTACCCCATACCTGTCTATATAGACTGGTAATTATTTACCTAGAGAGATCAGACTAGTGTAAAAGGTACACAGACCTGTCTATATAGACTGATACTATTTACTTAGAGAGCCCAGGATAGTGTAATAGGTTCCCAAGACCTGTCTACATAGACTGGTACTTA